AGGGAGTCCACTGTGAGGCCGATGTTAGGACTCTGAATTCCAAGCCCGGCATAATCATTAGGTAATGTTCCCTCTCACTGATAGCTTTACCCAGAATGGTGCCTTGTGAAAGAGAGGAGCTTACTAAGAGAAGATACCGCACTGAGCCATGCCCATGGCCTTTGCCTCCAGTGAGAAAATAGTCTTCCCTAAGACCTATTGTGATTTTCCAGTTATAAACAATGGTGCTTAGTTCATAGAGGGTCTTAAATGATATTTATTAACTAAATGAGTGGGAGTAGTCCACAGTTCTTCCAAATGTCTGGACTCTTTGATGTTTGCATTTTAAAAAGAGATGCTGTTGTTTTATAGATTAATTTAAAAACATCTTGGTATTAAGACTGACATCTGTTCTTTTATAACACTTTACATGTGGTTATGCACCCAAAGATTTAGGCTGTTTGCATATTTATTTCATATTTTTCACCATAGAGTTTATTTCACCTGATTATTTCATTTGGGTCTCTAAAACTACATTACGAAATACCTTAATTATTTAAATTAGGAACAGATTAATTATCTCCAGTGTATAAACTCAAATTAATTTCATTATAAACCTGAGGTTTAAATTGATTAATCTCAGAGTGTTTAAGGAACAAAATGGGTTTTTTTCGTCCTTAAGGAGAAGGGCATATTTGATTTGATGAATCTCTCGTCATCACACCAGTTATGATAATAGGCACAAGATATTTGCAAGAAAACTTCAGATGGATTTTATAAACCAGCCAGAAACCTGTGTGTCTGGGGCTTCTGGGGGAACAATCTGTGAGTCATTTTAAAAAACAAACACACTCATAATCACGGTGCATGTTGTTACCATGGTAATTAGGTCTGTTGAGTTGGCTTGCTTATGTTCCTGCAAAGGCAAGAGGGGGAGAGAAACTGAGAATTCAGAGCTTTGACTATCAGCTTCAATTTGCCTACTGCAGGAGAGAGCGAAGGGGTTTCTTGAGAATGCACTGGCATAGTCATTCTGAGAGGGAAGTGAAGAAACTGGCATCTTGCCTTTGTTATTGAATATAAGTTAGCAATATTAGTTTTGGGTATTGTGGTTCACAAGGGAGAAAAGGACCATTTGGGATTCTTTTGGGAAAAAGGGGAAAAGTAGTTTCTTTCTCTGATACATGACTTCATGTAAGTCTCTAAGGTCAACCTTGTGGAGTATCTTGTATGTCTATGCATAAGGTTTTAACGATCATCTAAAAGGCACCAAATGCTGCTGATGAACATTATTGCAGGTTTAAATGATATCGCCATGTTATTCTTCCTATATGGTTAAAGACTCGTTTTAATGAGACCGTTGTTTCAGATCTGATTCCCAAGTAGGCAAGATATCTTTCCCTCTATTTTATGGACTAGCAATGAGTCCTTTATCTTGGACAGCCATCTTATAATGGAGGCCTATGGGACACAAAGGACACCAGGGAGGTTATGTGAGCTCTACCAAATCTATTAGTACTCCAAGGGAAAATAAAATCAAAGCGTACACTCAGTTGATGGATAGTCAACCAAATTCTTGGGCCAGCGGAATTACTGTAGGAGTGATCCAGTATAATTCCATGTGAAGAACAAACAGTACCCTTAAATTAAAGGTTTGAATGTACATACAAATCTGTTTTTAAGACTGTTTCTAAACGTACTGTAAGAAGTCTGGCCAGGTGTATTGGCTCACACCTGTAATCTCAGCACTTTGGGAGGCTGAGGCAGGAGGATTGCTTGACCCCTCAGTTCGAGACCAGCTTGGGCAATGTAGAGACACTCTGTCTTTACAGAAAATAAAAATATTAGCTGGGCATTATGGTGCACACCTGAGGTCCCAGGTACTACTTGGGAGGCTAAGGCAGGAGGATTGCTGGAGCCCAGGAAGTTGAGGCTACAGTGAGCCACATTCACACAACTATATTCTAGCCTGGATGACAGAGCAAGACCCTGTCTCAAAAAAAAAAAAAAAAAAAAGTCTGGATGTCCTCTGAAATGAATAATTATAATGTATTGACTAAAGTTTTACTGTTAGAGTATGCCTCAATCAGATTTTAAAGCCGAACTTTTTAAACTATAGATTTCATTTTTCCTCTCATATGTGGAAAGAAAGCACATGTTGCCCAAACTTTACTATAAGTTTAATTTCTTAACAGTAGTAAACAAAACTTAACTTACTTTTTTTCTGATTATCAAAGTAATTCATACTGATTATTGAAAATGTGGAAAATATTGAAAATTTAAAGGAAAAAAATAAAAATTGCTCCGTCTAAGTTTTTGGTTGAACTGCATATAAGAGAGGCCTGATTTCATAGTCGCTAACGTAAGTTAGAAGTTATTTCTTTTTAACATAACAATCCAGACATGGATGACCCAGGACTGGTAAGGTAGCTGTGCTCCGCAAGATCATGCAGGGACCCAGGCTCCTTCTATCCTGTTGTTCTATGTTTCTCTTGCTTTCATTGTCTACGGTGGCTTACCATAAGGGCCCTGCTATAATGGGCAGGATGGAAGAAGTTGGAAGGGGAGGGCCTGACCCAGAAGTTACACATAACACTTTTGATGCTGTACCATTGAATTTTGTCACATGGCCACATAGCTAGCAGCAAGAGAGGTTGGGGAAAGTAGCTGCTTAGCTTAGAATTCTATTAAAACCATGGAGGAAGAGGAGAACAGATATTAGGGCATATCTAGCAATTTCTGCCATCTCTGTTACTCTACTGAACAGAGGAAATAGACTGTTTATATTCTGATGTGTTTTCTTCTAGTCTTATGTATCAGAAAGATATTATGTATAACTATACAAGAAAATGTGTTACATAATGCAATATATATGTATGTTAATGTATATATATTAGAAAAACATATTAAGACAGAAAATACATGTTAGAAAAAAATATATGTGTAAATATGTATATTAGAAAATTGTTGAGGTCACACTATGTATAATATTTTATATTCTTTTTTTGCTTAACTTTAAAATTTAGATGACAAAAAATGCATTTTATATTCTTTTTACTTTACAATAAAGTTAAGTAACTTTAAGTTACTTTTTAAAGTAACGGTATTTATTAACTTTAAAAAGTAAAAAGAGAATATAAAATGCATTTTTTAATCATTTAAATGTTTTTTTCTTTCTTTTTTTTTTTTTTTTAAATATCTTTATTCTTTTTTTTAACCCAACCTTCCACTTCTCACTCCACTAACATATATCAAGATATTTGAAAATCTTCTTTAAATATAATCACCTTACTCTGCTTTTGAACATTGAATTTATTCCTTCTATCTCACTGTATGTGTATACCCTTTACTATTTTTGACACAGAGTCTTATTCTGTCACCAAGGCTGGAGTACAGTATCATGATTATGGCTCACTGCAGCCCCAATCTCCTGGGCTCAAGCTATCCTGCCACCCTCAGCCTCCTAAGTAGCTGGGACCACAGGTGTTCGTCACCATGCCTGGCTAACTTTTGACCTTTTTTTGTAGAGATGTGTCTTGCTATGTTGCTCAGGCTGATTTCAAACTCCTGGACACAAGCGTTCCTCCATCCTTGGCTTCCCAAAGTGCTGGGATTACAGGCGTGAGCCACTGCATCTGGCCCATTTAAATTTCTTGTATTCATTGTTTTAAAATTTTATCATGTGGCATTTCTGTTTTACTGACTAGGTTGAATTATTGATATTTAGGCTATTTCTAACACCTTAATTCTTCTTTGTCCCCATTTTGGGTTTGTGTTGGTTAAATTTAAGGGGTGTCATCACCAAAACAATGACTGAGAACATACTTGAGTCTCTTGATAAACAAGACAAGATTGCTTTCCAGAAAAGTGTGGCAGCTTCTACCATCACCAGTAATACATGAGTGCTGGACCCAGAACACCCTTGAACAGGCGTATTTAGCATGTCCCACCCAGTCATTGTTACCCTATGGTTCATTCTCTGAAAATAAGTTGTTTTTAGCCCTTGGCTTTTTTTTTTCTTTTTGCTGTCATTAATCATGAGATAATGGCTTTCTGATAACTTTATCCCATTTAAAAGCATATGGCCCTTATGGTAGTCTGGGAATATAATTGGTTGGGTTGAGATTGTAGCACACATGCCAGTCTCAAGTATGTGAGATCTCTGGAGACACCGATGTTCACTTGGTCCTCCTGTGAATTTGAGTTCCATCCTCATTCATAACACGCTAGATGTGAGATATCTGTTTGTTCTCAAACACAGCAAAATAGGAATGGGAAAGTGTTCCTTGAGGCTTTAGCAATTCCCTTTGAGCTGAGCACTTTATAGCCTTTCAGGAATAAAGAAGCTCATCTACACAGGAGCTTTCTCACCTAGGAGCCATGCTCAGCACTGGACAAAAGTAGGCCACCTCTGCTCGATAACCACAGAGGTCATTAGTGGCTAAGGGCATCGGTATCATCTACTTCTAAACAGCCTGTAGAAGCTTTGGGTGCCAAAGATACTCTCATAACCACCCACTTGTCTTCTCCACCCTCCTAAAGTGCCAGATACACACAAACTGTGTGCCCTCAAACTCTGTCCCTAACACCTGGAGCAAGAGTGTGTTGGTCTCTGCTGCTTTGGGCCTACTTGGAGCAAATCAGGATAGGTCAGGAAGAAAGATTGTTCTTACTCATTCCATTAGTGTACAGCCTGTGCCACTCTGCCACCAAGAACTCTGCTTCCCCTAGGTTCCTAAGTGGCCTTTGTGTTTTTTCATGTTTTCTTGCATGCTAGGGGATTTCACAAAGAAAGGGACTCTGGTTTCACAAATCTATTTCTTAAAAGAAAAAGAGTTCATAAAAGGTTTGTTTCCAGGCTCTGCAATGTAGACCTGTGAGAACTCCTGCCCTTCTAACGATACTGCCATTACCACCAACACCTGTTTCAGAAACATTGTTCATTCTAATCATCCAGCTCAGGTGTATCATGGTATTTTTCCTTTAAAAATTTTTTATTTTCCTCTCTGCTTTCTCAACAGCCAGATCTACCAGTGAGCCTCAGGCTTTAGGAACTGAAGAGGTAAGAATTCTGAAATATTTTCTTCTAGAGTCTTGAATTTAACCAGAACTTAAAGAGGAAAAGAAAAAAAGTAAAGTGGTCTGTAGATGAAAGCATGTGATGTTTTATTGAGAGAAACAGTCATAGAGTCCTTATCAATACTGACATGACTTTCGGATTTAAAGAAAACATGGCTCTTCGTAATGATAGTTAAAATTGATTTTCATCCAGATTTTTCCACTTTCTTCCAAAAACCTGACTTGGAGAGCCTTTGAGTCTGCTGCCTTAACAGAATGTGTCCCTGGCCGGGCGCGGTGGCTCACGCCTGTAATCCCAGCACTTTGGAAGGCTGAGGCAGGTGGATTGCTTGAGGTCAGGAGTTTGAGACCAGCCTGGCCAACATGGTAAAACCCTGTCTCTATAAAAAAATTTTAAAATTTTAAAAACGTAAAATAAACAGAATGTGTCTCTATGGCACAAACATTAAAGGGTGGCAGACATTGAGGGCATACTCTGTGAGAGGTAAAACCTCAGATGAGGCAGATTAGATCAGAGAAAGGTAAACCCTGTGCTTAACAGATGGTTGTAAACATTGGAAGGGCTTTTCCAGCAGCAACAACAGCAATAACAACAACAAAAGATCAATCTAATGCTGCTGGGTTTCATCTTGCAGAAACTTACTTAGCTTTTGGCACTAGTTGCAGCATTTGAATCTGGTTATAGACTTGAAATGTAACCATAATCCTAGACAGGTGATAATGTGTTTGTCCACTCCAAGATACACAGTTTCCTCTAGTCAATGACTTAGATTTTTCCCCTCATTTTAAAATGTAACCTCATTGTGAAAAATACCAAGCATATACCAAAGCAGAGAGAACAATATAATGAACTCCCACATCCCTGTCACCCAATTTCAACAATGATCAGCTCGTGGCTGGGATTGTTTCATTTATACCTCCACCTACTTCTCTTCTTTCCCCGTTGGATTATGGGTGCTTGTTGAATTTGAGTGCTGGGCTTTTCATTGTTTATTTACATAACTGTTTAGGAGATACAGCAAATGCTAATAAAAAATAAAACCTAGTCATACCTGATTTCCTTTACTGGAGCTAGTCATCCATCCATTTATGGATTCATCAGATATTTATTTCATGTTTATTAGATATCAGACTTTCCTTAGGATAAGAGGATCAATTTTCCTCAACTCACTTTTAAAAGGTCTGCAAATGTGGACTTCTGATATCTCCAAATGAGGTGATCTGTTAGAGATGCACTGACAGAATGAAACAATGAGATTGATCATACAACTCTGTCAAATGTAAACATTCAGAATATGCCATAATTTTTGAAACTTGTTTTTGACATATCTTCGCTTTTGAATATACTGGGAACATGCAAGCATAAAACAAAACAAAGCTCCCAATCCTCTGATGTACCTTCCTGTTTTACCACAAACACTCATCCAACCATCTGCGTCCCTTTCAAGAATATAAGCTCCGTAAGAGCAGGAATAGTGTATAACTTAATAACCATTTGCCTCCAGCATCTAGCAAGGTGTCTGGCACTTGTTATATATTTAATAAAACTGTTGAATGAATGAACAAAAGAATACATGCCAGATACTGGGAATATGAACATGAAAAATACAAAGGCCTTGGCCCAGAGTTGTTCAGTGTCACGGAGGAGAAAACTGGATAAAGGAGGAGCTGCTTGTGTCCGGCTTCGTGAGGTGAGAGCGGAGTTTTGTGGATGCTGCTGGAGGAAAGAACCAAGTTGGGGAGTTTGGGAAGAAGCTTGATGGGTAAAGGGGCGTTTGAGCTATCCATGACGTGCCTTCAGTCAGAGAAGAAGGGAGGGGCATTCCAAAAATAAGGAATCAAGCGTGAATGGACACAGAGGCCCCAGAGGGCATGGCTTATTCCAGGAAGCTTTAGAAATTTAGGGTGGCCAGGGTGTGGCCAGAAAGTAGCTGACTGAGATCTGGCTAGAGAAGCAGGGTGGTGAAGCCTGGGAAGGACCCTAAGGGGCAGGCTCCCGAGTTTGAATTCTCTCTGCTTTGTAGGGAGGCAGAAAAGGGCACAAAATCAGAATTTTTTTAAAGGATAATTCCTTAGGGGGCAGAGAGGTGGGGAGAGACTATTGGAAGGGAGACCTGTGGAGGTCTTGGGTCTGGAAATGTTGGGCTTGATTGGGAGAACGATGAAATTGCTGATGAAAGGTGAGAAGTAAAGGAGAGGAAGACATCTAGAAAAACTCCCAGATTTCTTTTTTGGAAGAATGAATGGGTGGTGATAACTAGACTACAAAACAGAAAGGGAAGAACCCATGCATGTGGGTATGTCCAGTAGGCTGCTCCGTACTGACAGAGCTGTGTTTTTCAGTCCTGGCTGCACGTCAGAGCCTCTAGGGGAACATCTAGAAACCGTGATTTCAGACCCTACCCAGACCCCAGCTGAATCAAAATCTCCATGGTAGGGCCTAAACATCTATAGATGTTCCTAAAAGCTCCCCAGGTGACTTTAACATGCAGCCAGGGTTGAGAATCTCTGGTCTAGAGCTGATTGGAAGAAAGCCCTTTGTGCACGTGTGCTTTTAAGATCATGTATCACTTTTGCTGCCCTATAGTCAAGTTCTTTTGGATTTCAGTACCTAATGTTTTTCAGGTGAGGGCTGAGACATCCCATATTCTATCAAATATTACTAATAATGAAGATTCTTTTATAAGTATCTGATGTTCTTTGAGTTGCTTTCTTTCATGCTAATAAGTATGCTTAAGTTTTTCAAATGAATCCAAGCAGAATTTCTCAATGGGGTTTGCTGGCAGGTCGAATGGGACAATTCTTCATTGTCCTGTTTGGTGTTCCTGTCCTTGGATCACAAAAGGCTGTGGCATCTTCCAGTCACTGTGACATGCAGAGCACCCTAGGGAGACATTATGAACATTGTGAACTACTATGTCTTAGCACACGACTTTAAAGAGGTTATTTGGCATTTTCCACTCACCTAAAAGCATTTTTCCTTCATACAAAATTAGTGGTTTAGTTAAGCTCAGTAGTTCCTTATTGTAAGTAGTCTCTGTGCTAACAAACGCAAGAAGCTAAACAAAGTAAACAAGTAAAAGAAAGTTTTGTTCGCTACTGTCAGGGACATTTTGAGTATATTTGGTCTAGTGCTAAATTTATGTTTCAAAATATATACATAGAAGCAAATTAAACATGAGGTGATGGTCAAATACTGAGGTTAGAAGCAAAATACTACGAAGGCATTATTGAACAGCGGCTGTGATGAAAGGTGTATTAGTTTTCTATGGCTGCTGTAACAAATTAATACAAACCTAGTGGCTTAGAACAACACCAATTTATTATCTTCCTGTTCCGTAGGGATTTCACTAGGCTAAAAACAACATATCAACAGGACAGTGTTCCTTTCTGGAGGCTTTCTGGTTTGGATTTATTTCCTTACCTTTTACAGCTTCTACAGCTTCAGCCATCTTTTACAAAGCCTCTCTTTTACGAAGCACCATTGCCTCTCCATGTGTCTTTCTACCATAGTCACATCTTGTAAATTCTTTGCCAGGAAACGTTCTCTGATTTTTTTAAGGACCCATGGATAAGATTGAGCATACCTGGATAAGCCAGGCTAATCTCCCCATCACCAGGGCCCTTCATTTAATCACATCTTTGAAGTCCCTTTATCTGTAATGTTATGTATTTACAGGTCCTGGGATTAGGACTGAACATATTTGGGGGCTGTTATTCTGGCTACTACAAAGTGAAAGAGACTAATTTTTCAGAAAGGTGGAAATGCTTCAGATAGCAGACGTAAGACCATCTAATGTCTAATTATATAGGATTAAAAGGTTAAGGGTTCCAACACTGATGAAGCCAATTCTCATCTTGACTCTACAGTTCTCATTCTCTAGGTCCAGGTACTTAAGCCTTTTCGTTTTCTTGAAGTGTCTGGCACTGGATCAAGTGGACAGGTTGAAGTCCAAAGGTTCCTTTCTTGGCCAGACTTTTAAGTACTGTAGGTGTGGCCCCTAGAGAGTATGCTGCTTTTGTCATTTCTCCAACTCTGGAGGGTTTGTGTGCAGTGCTCAGATTACAAGGGCTTGAATAGAACCAAATTATTTTATGCTGTTTTGTCTGCCTGCTATAGTATGTATTATTTATTAGGCTTTAAAATGTGGAAATTGGAGGAAAAAATAACATCATAATACAGAGCCCGACCATGGTGGTATTCGTTATAGCCAGTTCCTAGGTATGGTATCATTTCCTCCATACATCAAGTAAGTCATCCCCGCAAAATATTTCTGCCTCTTTTAAGAGCAAGTCCTCTTAAAATCCACTTTTAGACACTTCAGCAATGCAGACCTGAAGTCCAAACCTAGAGCTAGCAGCAGGGCAACAAACTGTCCTTATTCGCCCAAGACAGGGGTTTCCCAGGACACAGGGCTATTGGTACTAAAACTGGGAGAATCTGGGGCAAATCAGGATAGTTGGTCACTCCAGATGTCTAACAAAATGACGCTAATAGAAAGTAGCTGTCACATTGATGAATTGTTTAAATATAAATTTTGAGTGAACCAAATAATGACCATAACCCATAATGTTTCGGGTGAAAATGGGGGTTATTCCAACTCTTTTGGAAAATCTGTAACCATATATGTATGTTTTTCCAGACCAGCTTAAAGAGCCAAAAAAAAAAAAAAAAAAAAAAAAAACCCTATATTCAGAACTGGGAAGCAGCAGCCACATTTATGAAATCACAAGCTCCAGCTGCCCTTTCAGTTCTCTGGTGTTACCAGCAGGCTCCTGCATGTTGCCTCTGATGATGGAAGCTTTAATAATTTTGCTACTGAGGTGACCACAGGACCTCCCTGAATCTTTTTCAGCATGTCAGCCTGCATGGAAGTTATAAAGCCCAAGTTTGCCAATGCAGCACAGCGTTCTCTTAGCTTTACTCTTGCCTTTCATAGAGCAAAACTGAACTTTCCCTCCTGAGAGATAGCATAGACTGTT